GTTGAAGGCCACGATTTATAAATTTCTATTTGAGATGTTCTCTTTTGTACGTTGCTCTTGGGAAGGGCCTTTTTCTAGTGGGTAATAATGGTTGAGAATAAACACATCTGAAATGGCAAAGACGAGCGTGTAAGTCTCCGGTGTGCGGTTCCTCCGTTTGCCCTCCCCTGACCCCTTACCCGAGCTGTTCTTAAAGGAGGTGACCGATGTGCATGAGGAGCCATCACCCCACACCCCCGGCGGGCCTTGGGGGCGCCGTTGTCGGGGAGGACTGCCCCTGAAGCCTCGTTTGCTCACCGTCTCCTCCTCAGGATACCTTTGCTTGCTTACCTGTCGCAGTGTCGCCAAGAAGTTACGATGCTCCGTGACCGCCAAATCCCAGCTGCTTCCGTGGACCTACCACACCGTGTATCCCGAGTTAGAAAGCACTGGGATTCTAGGAGAAAGATTGGCAGAGGTGCTGAGTGTGTGTGTGTGTGTGTGTGTGTGTATGTGTGTCTTTTTTGAATACATGTCAGTTTTAATTACGTTCATCTAATGCAACATTTCATTAACAAAATACAGTACCACCTGTGAGAGCCAGAACTCACCGAGACGTCCTTGTTTTTGCAGATCTCACGAGTTTCCCATCTCTGATGGGGTGCACTCTTACCCCTTTTCAGTGGCTCGTTTTAGTGGAAAATACTTGACTTTTCCTTCTCTGATAGGTTTACACCTCACCCAGGTTCCAGCTTTCACAGGTTTTACTGTCTAACAATCTATTTTGAAAACTCTATCTGATAGGATGTTCCTGGACACCTCAGCCGGGTCTCCCTGCTAGCCGGAGTAGTGTACATACAGCAGTCTCACATGGTTTTGTTTGTTTGTTTGTGTTTGTTGCCTAAGGGAATTGCTTTAAGGAAGTGGAGAAGAATCACTGGCGTGAGTTACACTTTCAGTGGGGACTCAGATCATGTGACGAATCATTCACAGAACTTCTCTGGACTAATAATATGAACCTGGGTACTGAAGAAAGGCTTCTAGTTTTGTGACCATTCCTTGTCTACGTCCCAGCCGAGCCCTAACTTCTGATTGCACCACTACCTCCACAGGCTTCCTAGCAGAGATGCATGACCACCAAAAGGTGGTCTTCCTCAGTCGAGTTCAATTCATTTGCAACCTGGACATGTCCCAGGGTTGCCCCAGCAAATGTACAGTTTGAAAGCCTCTTGATCAAGTATTTGTTCTGGGTAGAGACTACTTAGGTTTTCAGAACGTAAGCAGGACCATTGGCATCTTTAGGCTGTGAACATCTTTTCATTGGCTTCTTTACATGTCTAACTTGGATTTAATTTCTAATACCCAAGTGCTGCAAAGAACGGAGGGCCCAAGAATTCTCATGTCAGGTTTGCCAAGCCCCCATCTGGAATCAAGGACCTGTTATGCAGATTGTGTGGCTGTTGCTGGCAAAGTCATTCCCTTGCACTCTTTCTGTTTTTCTTGTCTGTCTCTTTCTCTCTTTTCAACCCCGTATGACATAGTATTGCGGGGGGCAGAGATGAAGTAATATTTTGATGACTTTCAGCTGTTCTTCCATTCATTCATGTTTTAGAATTTGCAAACTCGGTTTGGAAAAAAAAAGGGAGGGAGGAGCTCTGGTGGCAATGTGGTTAAAGCATTGGGCTGCTAACCACAAGATTGGTGGTTTGAGCCCACCAGTCACAGGAAGAAGATGAGGCAGTCAGCTTCAATAAAGATTACAGCCTTGGAAATCCTGTGGGGCAGTTCCACTCTGTCCTCTAGGGGCGCTGTGAGTCAGAATCGACTCCACGGCAGTGAGTGTGGTTTGGGCTTTGGTTCTGTAAAGACTGACAGCCTTGGAAACCCTGTGGGGCAGTTCTACTCTGTCCTCTAGGGGTGCTGTGAGTCAGAATCCACTCCACAGCAGTGGGTGTGGTTTGGGCTTTGCTTCTGTGAAGATTGACAGCCTTGGAAACCCTCTGGGGCAGTTCCACTCTGTCCTCTGGGGGCGCTGTGAGTCAGAAT